ATATATGAGTTTATATATTTTTTTGGTAGCGTCGCCGCGGCCGTTGCTGGTAGTGATGTCTATTGCGATTGCAACAACTCGGCCACGGTCATGGTCACGGTCACGGTCACGGTCTACTCTTTCGCGGGGCTTTCTCGTGGCGCGCGTTCTCTCTGCTATCCGTCGCGTCGGCCGGTCAGCGAACTCGGCCGGCTCGGGCTCGTCAGCGACGCGTTTGCGCCGTGCAGAGTTGAGACGCAACAAAAATGCAAAGTGCTCACAACGCAATATTAAATTCGCAGAAAGTGAAAAATTAATCGCAGCTTCACAGCGAATATATTCAGCGAAATATTTTTTGTCATCTGAACTCTACAAATGCGTGAAACATAGTGATTCACAGATGATATTTTCTCACTTTTCTGAATATATCCTAGAATATGGGAATATCTTGTATAGAGTTTGTCTTCGTTTAGAATTTAGAGAATTCACTTGTCACTTTTGGAATTATAACAATGGCTCAAATAATTTTCCAAAACAATTTTCAAATTAATTTTTGAAATACTTAATTAATTATTAATACGTACCGTTATCTATCTTAAATTCTTATATTGATCCATTATTATCATAAATAGTAATTGTACATCTGACAATTTAAATTTTCTTATATCATTTTTTCATATTTTTCTTCTTTAAAATTAAGAATTTTAGTATTTTATTCTGACAAGAGAGTTGACTTTATCAAAAATATTGGGACAGAAAGGGAAAAGAGAAGACTGATACTGCGTTTTCCGGGATTTCGGGTGTGGGAAAGATGCTGCAGGAAAATCGAAGTACGTGCGAAGGGTGTGGCATTTTCGTGCGTTTAATTGAAGTTATTGTATAATCGCAGAATTAAAGAATTATCATCAGCGATTTATTGCACGACGAGAGCGCGAAAGAATTTGCGAAGAGAGCTTCTCTAAAAAATTAATATAATAATTAACATTTTTTTATATCCACAGTGCCATCGAAAATGCAAATTAAACATGCGAATTGAGAGGGTATATCTCGTCATATAAATAACAAAATTTATTTATAACGAAAAGGTTTCGTTAAGTGGGAAAAAATCAATTGCCATAATCATCGTTATTAGAAAATAGTATAAAGACGCTTCTTATTATTGCGAGAGAGAGAGAGAGAGAGAGAGAGAGAGAGAAATCACTTTATTATTTTATTACGAAATAATATCCCCATATTACATACTTATTATTAGTGCATCTTTCTTTTACTCGGAGTTGAAGCATAAATTATGCTAACAGCGATATTATATTGCTCATGAGGAAATCGAACTCAATTATCCAAACTCATTGATTGGATTGCAAAGTAAGATTTCTGGGTAATCAAGTGTGTTGAACTTGTGCAATGAATAATGCTAAAACATTAGCTAACAATAAGATACATATCGTCATCATACAGAATAAACAATAAAATATTGCGGCATTGCAATGTTGATGATGTGCATTGTAAATAATTGCAACCAAAAGTGATCTTGGATTTCATTTATCAAATTGTGATTGCGATAAATATCTACATACAAAGTAATTTTTAATTGCAGGCTTGTGCTTATCGAGCTTGTCGAAGCACGATGATGAAATTTAAAGCAGTTTGACAAACGAAACATATAACCGATAACAAAATTTATTTATAACGAAAAGGTTTCGTTAAGTGGGAAAAAATCAATTGCCATAATCATTGTTATTAGAAAATAGTATAAAGGCGCTTCTTATTATTGCGAGAGAGAGAGAGAGAGAGAGAGAGCAATCACTTTATTATTTTATTACGAAATAATATCCCCATATTACATACTTATTATTAGTGCATCTTTCTTTTACTCGGAGTTGAAGCATAAATTATGCTAACAGCGATATTATATTGCTCATGAGGAAATCGAACTCAATTATCCAAGCTCATTGATTGGATTGCAAAGTAAGATTTCTGGGTAATCAAGTGTGTTGAACTTGTGCAATGAATAATGCTAAAACATTAGCTAACAATAAGATACATATCGTCATCATACAGAATAAACAATAAAATATTGCGGCATTGCAATGTTGATGATGTGCATTGTAAATAATTGCAACCAAAAGTGATCTTGGATTTCATTTATCAAATTGTGATTGCGATAAATATCTACATACAAAGTAATTTTTAATTGCAGGCTTGTGCTTATCGTGCTTGTCGAAGCACGATGATGAAATTTAAAGCAGTTTGACAAACGAAACATATAACCGAAGCTTATCGGTTCTCTCTGTTATCTTATAATAGAGTTTAAAAAATAACTGTAGAATAGGACTAAGAAATTGAAAAGGGACATGGCAGGCGACAAAATTTTACATGTTGACGGATACGATTCACGAGACGATACGAGTAAAGAGGAGAGGGACGTTCTCTCGTTGAAAAAGACAGCATGTTTCCGGAAAGCGAACGATCTCGGACGGATGCGAGAGGTTCTCGTTAGACACGCTCGAAAAAATCTCTGGCTCCTCGAGCCAAATCAAATTAAGTAGGAACTATTCGACTAATTAGGGATAGCTTTTTTAATGGGTCGCTCAGCCCAAACGATTGTGCTCAATGCGAAACTTATAACGGAATCTCGAATTGTCATTAATATATCCCTGGATGAAATAACATTGATTTAATCCTAAAAGCAAAAAATTTGATGGGGTTAATGAACTATATCTATTAGTGGTTATTTAATGGAAAAAGAAACGCAAGATGGTGTGTATTATGATAATGCGTTTTAAATATCATTTATATCCAAGCGCTATTTAATAACACTTTAATC